AAAAAAAAAAAAAACAAATTTTAAGTATAACTGCCAGAGGCAGTGACTCACGCCTGTAATCCCAGCACTGTGGGAGGCCAAAGAGGACGGACCACCTGAGGTCAGGAGTTGGAGACTGGCCTGGCCAATATGGTGAAACCCCATCTCTACTAAAAATTTAAGAATTAGCCAGGTGTGGTGGTGCATGCCTGTGATCCCAGCCACCAGGATGCTGAGGCATGAGAATTGCTTGAACCTAGGAGGTAGAGGCTGCAATGAGTCCAGATTGAGCCACTGCATTCCAGCCTGGGCAACAGAGCGAGACTGTCTCAAAAAAAAAATATAACCACACACACAAAAAAAAGTTATGTATTTTTAAAAATTCTATTAGAATAATTAGAATAAACGGGAGGGCCCAGCCTGGCCAAGATGGTGAAAACCCTAGCTCTACTAAAAATACAAAAATTAGCCAGACGTGGTGGCAGGTGCCTGTAATCCCAGCTACTCCGAATGCTGAAGCAGAGAATTGCTTGAACCTGGGAGGCAGAGGTTGCAGTGAGTCGAGATCAGGCCCCTGCACTCCAGCTTGGGCAACCCAGCAAGACTCTGCCTCAAAGAAAAAACAAAAAAACAAAAAAACAAAAAAACAGGAGGTCTCTGAAAAACAATTCTCAAAGGAGAGAGCTTCCATATTTACTCACGTATTCGAACCTTGATATTTTTATTATCAAAGCACAAGGATGAGGGACCTAATTTCATGAGGCCCCGGCTCTCCTGATATTTTCATTTATCTCGAGACTCTCACCCCCCCCATCCCCTGCCCCGTAACTCAAAAAGTGGCTCATCTGTAGTTAAAAGGCAAAGTTAATTAGCATCTGGCACTTCCTTCTTCCTCAATTCTCCAAGCTTAGACTAAACGTCTGTCTTAATTGAGGCTTCCTGAGTTTGTGACCTGGGGCAGGAGTTGAGCGGGTGCGGATATAAGCAGAGAAAAAAAAGTTTGGGTTTGCACTGCTCATTCTTTTTTTATTTCTCTCTTTTTTTTTTTCTTTTTTTTTTTTTTTTTTTTTTTTGACAAGGTCTCTCTCTCTGTGGCCCAGGCTAGAGTGCAGTGTTGCAATCACAGGGGATTGACCTCCTGGACTCGGGTAATCCTCCCACCTCGGCCTCCTGAGTGGCTGAGTTGTGCACCACCATGTCCAACTAATTTTTAGCTTTTGTAGAGGTGAGGTCTTACTATGTTGCCCAGGCTGGTCTCAAACTCTTAGGCTCCAGCGATCTGCCCGCCTCGGCCTCACAAAGTGTTGGGATTACAGACGTGAGCCATCACACCCAGCTGCATTGCTTTCTTTTTTTTTTTTCTTTTTTTTCTTTTTTTTTTTT